ATAATAATAACATTAAAGTTAATGGAAAACAAATGCACAAAGGGCATTATACTCATTTCAGATCCGGCAAGGACTAAAACCGCAACACAATAATTTGTTAGGGACGAAGCGTGCAACTTTTAACGCCATAAGGGACGGTCCGAATTAATTTTTGAAAATAGAGACTAAACATGCTTTTTGGCACATATACGAGAGACGATTGGTGTAATTTACCCTATATATAAATCAAAACTTTAACGTCCATAAGTTGAAACATTAAACGAATACATACAAACAAGTTGTAGGTTAATCCAAATACATTAAAACAAACACATAATCATAAATCTTACATCAATCCATGTACATCAAAATATATATATATATATATATATATATATATATATATATATATGTATATATATATATATATATAATACCGAAACAAAATATAGTTTTAATTGAATAAAAAAACATAAAAAAAATAATAAAAAAATAAAAAACCTTCATAACATTTACATATGATATGTTTATTCCGAGAAAATTTAAATAGATATGAAAAGCATCACTAAAGTTTATTATACAAAATGATTCATTTCGATATGTTTTTTTTTTTTTTTTTCTATTTAACCGATTCAACCTGTTTAATTTAACAGTATCAACCGGTTTTTGGTAAAAACCAGCTGATTCGTTCCGGTTCAAAAAAAATGCATAAAACCAATACTAATTAAACTGCCCATTTATTCGATTTTCGGTCCAACCGGTTCGACCGGCCGGTTCAAACCGATTTTCAAAACATTGGAAAAAATAATCCTTTGCAATTAACAAGCAAATTAATTAACGGCTACAAGATAGGTGAGTGGTGGTTCTCAATGATCAAAGAGATCGAATCAGTAATGATCCTCTTCTAAAGTCTAAAGATTCTCGGTGTCACTTTGGCTAATTAATGGTAACGTTGTATACAAAACAAGTGTCTTCATTGTCAAACTCTTCGATTTATTTGTGGCTTGCATTTTCACCAATTATATATCAAGAACTCGTTCGTGATTCTTAACAACCGATTTACTATGTTTAAAAAGTTATGTCTTTAATTATTTGATTCTCACTAAATTCAAGTGTAAAAAAAGATCAATTCACATGTAAAACTACATTTTTACGACAAATTTGTTAGAAAGCCACCACAGCGTCTCTCACAAATCCACCACCACATCCCAAAATATCAACAAACCGCCACCACGCCTTTTTCCCACTTCTCTGATCATGGGGTTGCCTGCTCTCAATCACGTCACCCAAATCCATCTCAGGGGTACTCCGGCGACGGAGTTGCCTGCTCTTAATGTCACTCAGATCCATCTTCGTCGGAAATTTACCGGATCCGAGTCCAAACATAAACACCTGCCACCTGGAGTTGCTCTTAGATGCCATTCTGCTTCTCTCCATAACTGTTACGGACATTGACCTTGAAGTGCTCGGCCTGGAAACTGTTTTACGGCGCATGTATTTAAAGGAACTTGAACTCGACCGGAATATGGGGTTTGTCTCCTTCACCTTTGCTGTTGGCTTGTTAACGTCATCATCGGCGATTGGTGGTTTTGAAGAATCTAATTTCCTGCCGAAATTGTCGTGTTCAGGTGAAGTATCAAAAGAGGTAGTGTGACTCCATTCTTCAGTAGAAAACCCAAAGAATTCTTGAATGAAAGATTGGCTTATTTCTTCGGAAAAAGTGGTATCATGGTGGATTTGAAGGTCTGCTTGAGAAAGTGTGTCGTCTGCTTTCGCCATGGTAAGTTGACAACTTGGTTTGTAAGATTTATGCAGAGGGAGAGTATATATATCTGTATTGAAGAATATTGTGAAAATGGTGATGCTAGAAGGGAGGAAAAAGAATTGTAGATATAAAGTCGAGAATTGTGCGCAGTATGGTTGACAAACGGGTAGAACTTGCGTCGTCTTGACTCTTGACACCGCTACTAGAAGGCAAGAGCCGCCGGTGTTCCGGCCACATGAATTGAACTTTTTTTTATACACCTAGCAACCTCCATGCATATCTCTAATCTCTTACTTGCCCATTTTTTGTTTGATAATGTTTTTATTTAAATATATTTGTTTGCTTTCATATAATCATATAATTAAATTAAGGAAAAGTATACTAATAGACATGTTAAACAAGGCATTAAATTTAATAATAATATATTTATGTTACTAATTTGTATTTATAGCTATATTTTACATATTACATAATAAATATTGTTAACACTTCAATTTATAAAGATAAAAATTAGACATGATGAAAATTAATTAAAATGTCAAATACGATCATAATAGAAAACATATTAATTCTTAGTTATTTTTCAAATTAAACTATAATTTACTTAAAATCTTGTATTCGCTTGAATTAGAACTGGCTAACTGCATGTTATCCTAATTAAAATTAGTAAATAATGTTGTCCTAAGAACCCACGGTGTGATGGATTGGAATGCCTTCGGCATCTGAGGTGGCACCACCCTCGAGTTGTTTAATGTTTATTATTGCCTACGGCAATTCTCATCCGCATATTTTTACCTTTCATTTTCTATTAGTATACGTGGTTTTCTCTTTTTGAAAAATCAAAATCATGTGGTGTATATATATGCTATAACAATGTTTAACTTCAGCAAAAAGTTGTATATTTGACAGACGTTTTTATCTTGTGGTTACTAAGAAGACCTTATGTTCCTGTTTATAACCTATTAAATGTTACAAACATCACATGATTGTTATATCTATATATATATTGGTAAGTTCGTTTTATTATATAAATCAATAATCAATTAAGCTTTAACCATAATATATAGTATTTAAATATGTGTTATACTATTTTTAATTTAAAAAAAGTTGATAGATAAGGATGGCATTACACGGTTACTCGTAGATCAAAAAATTGATAAGAATTACAAAAGTTTATGTAACATTTATATGACACCAAAATTTAGTAGGCAAAGATAACATCATACTCTTTAGCTAAGCAAACGATGTAGATAATTGAAAAACAGTTTTTTGAAAGTGAAAGTAAAAAATAAGTTTAACTGAGTTTTTATTGGATTTGAACATATAAGGGTAGGTATTAAAAGGGATGAGAGCACTCATACGGGTGTCATGTTAAGGCCTTGAAAATGGTGGATAGCTTATCATTATTCATCCATTTTTAAAAAAGAACCCAATGGGTCAAATAAAAGTATTGGCAAGTCCTTCAGGTATAGTTAGATGAAGTCCTAAGTGGCACTAAATTATTGAATAGTGGCATTGCAAATTATACTTGAAATACACCATATAGATATAGATGGGTGATGGTTAAGATATATAACTAACTATTTCAGTTGTCCATATTTAAGTAATGTTTTTTTTTTGTTACACATTAAGGTAACTAACTTGTTTTGTTTGTTTACATTTAGGTAATATGACTGACTATCACATGTTTTTGCTTATGTGGCATCCACCTGACATATGATTTGAATACATTACACCTACGTGGCATAGTGCATATATGGGTAAATGACTTATTAAGGTAACTAACTATCTCAGTTGTCCATATATAGATAAAAAAAAATTTGTACACATTAAAGTAACTAACTTGTTTTGTTTGTTCACATTTAGATAATACGACAAACCATCAAAAGTTTGGAGAGTTTCATTGACAATAACACATACAGTTAATATTATGTTAATATCGACCATTATTGATGTTTCATTTTGATCACATTTACAATTATTACACAAAAATAAAATAGTTTATATAATTTTCAGGATTATATGTTGTTTACAAAAATTATCTAAATAATTTATCAAAATAAAATGGAAGTTGAGTAACTTTTCACCTACTTTGTGGTATGAATTATTGGGTAAAAGTTATATCGAATGAAATGTATCCGATGTCTCCGGTTATTTTAATAAATGTAAACAAACAAAACATCAAAATAAATCAAAAATGTATTCAAACAAATCGTTAAAAATAATTAAAAATGTTTATTCACACAAAACATCAAAATAAATATAAACGGACAAAATGTCAAATAAAAAAAACATTAAACAGTATATTCAAATAGAATATGAAAATATAATTTTTCTAAATAAAAAACATATATAATTTATTAAATTAAATAAAACCAATAACAAAACTATAATAAAGAAATTAGTTTAACTTATATTAAAAATAAAAATAAAAATAAAAATAAAAATAACCTAATAATATAATTATATATTGATTTGAATGAAATGACATGAAGTACTGCAATAGGGAGTTTTTTTTTTAAGAATAGTAGGGGTTTGTTTAATAATCTTGTAATTAAAACCATACAACTTTACCATTTCAACCATATCTTATTTATTTATTTATTTTTATCAAATTAATCGTTAGTTACCAACTTACCATAATTTAAAATTCCGAGTTCTTAAATTTACTCGCGATTAAAAAAAAACAATCGTGTTCTATGTTTTTACTTGCCAAAAAATATATAGTGTTCATAAATGGTTCACATTTTTCATTTTTACTCGCTAAAAATTGGCAATCTTCATTTCCACTATATATAGTTGTGTATGAGAATTTAGTAACAGATGCATGCTAGCTTAGTTAATTTATTAATGACTAATTATGTTTTTAAACGTGGTTTATATAGAGGGTTCAAACCTGCATCCTTTGTTATAATGAGCAAGCATCTTAACCAGTTGATCTATTTCAATTCACGATAAAAGATGCAACCCTTACGTATATAAAATAAATTCAAGATACATGTAATCAGGAAAAACAGAAAAGTTTTGTGCTCTTATAAGTGGGATTTTTATACTTGAAAAAAATAAGCTCTTTCATAAATATATAAGATCTAGATATTTCATTTAGTTCTAATTAAGGATATGACGTTATCATTAAAAACTCTTATTTCTCATCTATGGCAAGCAATTTCCAAATAATCATTGTTCTCTACAAGTCATGCACTGGTCAACAAGAAGGAACGTACGTAACCAAGTTATGAAGTTAACCCTTCGTCATCTAATCAGTGAATCCACCACCGCAACCCAGTACTCTAATCAACCCCGACAACTGCTTTCCACCGATTTTCTCCTCCTCACCACTGTGGCTCCGGCGTTTCTGCCTACTTCTTATGTCACTCAACTCCATCTTCATAGGAAACCTCCCGGATCCAAACATAAAAACCTGCCACCTTGACTTGCTGGGACATGCCAATTTTGTCGTTCTCTGGAGTAACACGTCATTCCTTTTATTATCCTTTTTCTTTCTCCATAAGATAGGAAAAGAATTTAATCGTGAAGTGCTTAAAGAGGAATGACCATTGGAGAAGCTCGAGAAAGAATTAGAATTCCGTCCCATGATACTACTCTTATTGTTCTTGGAATCTGTTTTGTTCTCGGAATCTGTTTTCTTCTTGGGGTTTAAAGTTTGGTTGCTTTTTGAAGTATAAATCACTTTTCCACAGAATATGATATCATCAGGTGCATTAGAAGAAATCGAAGTAGGGAAATCACTCCATTCTGCGCTGAAAAACCCTAAGAAATCATGGTTGGATGAGGAAGACGGTGAGGAAAAGGAGTTTTGTTTTCCATCGGCCGCAGATAGTTTTGAATCCAACTGCAGATTATCACTGAAAAACTGTACGTCGCTGAAAGAGAGTCTCTCTTCTTTGTCATCCTCCATAATCTTCGCTTGCAATAAATGAAGTTTTTCGAGAGTTCGTTAGATTTAAGTCTCAAGTGTGGATGTTTGTGTGTATATATATAACACCATGCACATAGAAGAAAATGGGCAATGGAGGTGTGGTCACCTGGGAGCTAAGACACGTAGAAGATTGGTCGTTTTGGGGATTCTAGAAGACTTGAGATATGGATGATTTGTAAAACATTCAAAAAAAAATTACTGTCTAACTTTAAAAAGAACATTCGAACCTGGTAAACAAAAGTGACCCTTAGCTACTTTTTGCAACATGTGAAGGTGTCATTCTAATAAAACGACAAGGTTTATTGTTTTGAATAGTTTTATAACAAAGGAATACTAATCTCAACCGTTACTGAATAATAAAGAGTAAATTACACGAATTGTTCTTCACGCCGGTGCTAACATCACGTTTAGTTTTTAATTTTATAAATTAACTCGTACCATTTTTCATTTGATTTAATTTTGCATGCTTCATCCCTAAAACGATTTTGTTGCGAATTTAATCGGTGCTAGATTTGAAATTATCACAATACCCTTATGTTTTTATTGTTCAATTAATTGAATATTTTTATTATGATTTTCAATTAAATAATAATAATAAAGCTCTCTACTCTTCATTTTCCCAACCCATCAACCACTTCTTCACTATTAATGATCAGGGAGAGGAACACATAAGCAAACACACATAAAGACTCGATAAGATGGAAAAAGGAGATCATTAACTCGTCGGCCAGTCACCCACCACCATCATCGTCTCCACCCTCCGGTGGTTGTGGTTTAGGTTGGGTTTTTTGGGAGGTGATTGGTGGTGGGTTAACAGCGCTCGAAAAATAGATTAAGAAAATGAGAAACTCTAGATGTACCCTAACTCATCCCTTCATGTTTCTCCACCTTCATCTGAGAACTCGCCTCCCCCTTGAAGTCAATCGTCGCCATCACCTCCAGTGCACCACTGCCGCCTCTAAACCGTCACCATCTTCCTCGCAAGCCATTAACTTCGTCTATAGGTTTCAGGAAAGGGCTAGGTTTTCCAAGCCAATACCGTCCAATCTACTACCGCAAGCCACCGACTCCCTCATCACAAATGAATGTTGCCATTACCACTAAACTTCGCCATCACCATGTTTAAACCCATTGCCGATAGTTATTCCTTCTGATGAACCTTCTATTTTCATCGATAACCGTCACTAGCCTACTCTCCTACACCCTCACTCATAGATCTATTCAATTTATGCATAACTATCACTCGATTTATGCAAGTGAGTTTTCATATTTGAGGGTCAGGTTTTCCGATTTGATGTGGTTTGATTTTAGTGTTTGGGATTTTAGATTTTTGGTTCGATGTTGAGATTTTTGGTTTTTCAGGCTTTAAATTTATGGTTTTTAGAATTGATTTGGTTTGGTTTAGTGTTGATTACAACAGTCGTTGGAAGTAGAGCATCGTAGTTGTTGGAGGTAAGCATGGTGGTTGCTGGTGGGCGGAGGTAACTGTTGGTCGAACATGATATATTAATTGTTGACCTACATTTTTCTGTGACCTAGTTTTCAGGGACTGTTTAGGGCCCATTTCTTTTTTAAAAGTCAATAATAATTATTTTTGATAATAAGCGTGAAACATCCCAAAAATCATGACCAAAAAATTCATTTTTAATTATTAATAAAACCATAGTTATCAAAACATCACATAAAGTCATAAAACATTGTTTCTCACAACATCATAAACATCAGTCAAACATATCATAATGAAAATATCCCAGGCTAAAATCATGGTGTGTGCGTTGCAGTCATCCCGAGTTCTTCCCCTTGTTATCGGAAGTACCTGAAACCAAAACTGAAAACCGTAAGCACGAACCTTAGTGAGTCTCCCCAAGCTACCACATACCATACACATAATCACATAAACTAGGCCCCCGCCCAGCATCGGACAGTGTTTGACATCAGGCCCCGCCTGGCATCGAGCCCTGCTCGGTATACATATATGTTTCTACCAGGCCCCGCCTGTCTCTGGGCCCCGCCCGCAATACACATACAAACAATAACATATAATCATACTAGTACATATAGAATCATACACAGTACTACATGTTCTTGTTGGGTTTGGTGTCTAAGTTCATAGTTATAATTGGGATATACTTGACCCGATTGTATCCTTTTGGGTTGCCTTCACTAGTGCAATTTGATAGGATGGACTTTTGAGAATAAGGTTATTTATGATTTATTAATATATTACAAGTATAATATATTAATATGAAATCATATTATTTAATTAGTATTGATCAAGAATTAATTTGGAATTAATTTTATGATCAAAAGAGACTAATTAAATATATGGGGATTGATTATGTAAATGAATGTTTCTTATAGTGTGGGCCAATGATCCATGATTATGTAGATAGGCTAAACCAATTAAATAATCCATGGAGGTTAAACCCATGGAGCATAAGAATGTAGAAAGTCATGGAGCATTAGGGTTTACATGAATGTAACCCTAGCTTAACAACAATATAAAAACACACCCCTAGAAGCCAAAATCGGTTAGACCTTCCTTTATAAGAGGGTAAAGTTGATTTTGTGCAAGTAACTAATTCTTTCAAGCCTCCTTTATTGGTGTTTGTAAACCATTAGAGGCATCACACTTGAGGTGCATGCTGGTTGTCGAGGCCAACAAAATTAATAAACCTAAATCTTTTACACTAAAATAGTGTATACTGGTAAAGGGGTTGAATCCACTAATATTAGTTCAATTTTATATCTCTATGAAAATACTTGTAAAGAAAAAACAATAAAAATAAAAATGGGGGGTTTGGTGATTTGAAATACTTGAAACAAACTAGAGCTAAACTAAGATTTAAATAAACAATTTCAACATAATCAAGAGTTTTGATGTAAAATCAATAAGAGAAAGATGGTTGAATTGAGGTTTCCTCACTTTGACTTTTTGATGAACATATCATTAGAATCCAATGGTGCAATACTTGTTTTAAATACTTAATTTGGCTATAGTAATCCAAGGAGCTTGAGATTACGTAGACTTTTCTTAGTTGTTGAAATGGTTAGAGAAGCTCATAACAATTTCCATAGTCGAAGTCACTAATTTCATTAAGCGTGTAATTAGTGAAAGTAAACTAGCATTGAGAATTAAAAAGTCACCAAATCCAATAGGATTCAAAAGCTTCCACTACCATGTTGGAGAAAATGTTTTTATGATTGTGTGAAGTAAAACTAACACAAAAATCACTTGTTGCTTGCTAATTTGAAGATCCTTTACTTAATCAAGAAATTAGCCAACTAATCACCACAAACACATTTAAACTAATGAATAAAAACATAAAAGTAATGATGAGATGTTAAAACATAAAACATTTTCAATAAGATTCAAACACAAGTTCATGGAGTCTTCAACATTCAACAGTTAGTCAAAGGATTCCACAATTAGTCTAGCCAAGCATGGCTAAAATTAATAAAATAAAGTTAATAAAGATTGTACCCAACATTTAATAAGAATCAAGAGGAGAAAATGATGAAGTTCTTGAGGGTTCTTGGCCATCAAAGTGCTTCAAAACTCCAGAGAAAATGAGTTAAAATCAGATGTCAAAGACAAAGCTAAAGAGGCACACCAACCTTCCCATTATAAAGCTCTCAACAAAATCCCAAATTTACCCTTTCAGGAATCCATGCGGGCCGCGCGGAAACCTTACGCAGGTCGCGTGAGGGTGACAGAATATGGGCTTCTTCAAGTCTTGGGTCCCCACAGCTATTCCATTGGCCCAGTTCGAATCTAATCAGCCTCTAGCCCATTTTTCTTAAAGATTTCCTCAATTTGAGTCCAATATGCCTTCTCCAAATGATCCATAGCTTTCGAAATCGCCCGACATCAATCTCCACACACTCGAATATTCTCTTGCACCTTGCAAATTTAAATTTTATTTATTCCAAGCTTTCAATTAATAATCAAGCCCACTCCAAGCATCAACTAAATAGCCACCAAGCTTGAAATCCCCATTACCCTTCGAGTCCAATCGCCTCCCAAAAATCCCGCTCTGCTAGTCTCCAAAAAATCTGCAATAATACTCAAGAAACTAGAAAGTACCCAAAATGGTCATAAAATAACAAAAAGGAAAATATGCATGGAAATTAACTAGAATGCGAATGAAATGTGCTAAAATAAACTATAAAAAGAAGTAAATAAAATGAAGCTATCACTGCTCAAGCTTTCAAGGGTCAAGAACTACAAGTCCTTCTAAGAGGTAAGTTATCTAACTAGTTGTATCATTCAATTGTTCAAATGTATGCTAGTTAGGACAATGCTTTGGAAAAATGAAAATATGCATGTATAGTTAGAAAAAACATAGATCCAAAGCATTTAGGGTTGCATGTGCACCATAGGATTGTTATAGTTCTCAAAACCCAACAATTCTAGTCCTAAGGCCTCGCCTATCATAGGCCCCGCCCCTACTCTACTAATGATGAGATATGGAACCCTGTCCATACTCAACTAGTGGTGAGATACGGGCCCTCGCCCACACTCACTTACCTAACCAGGCACATACAAGTATCACACAGACAACAAGTATAACTAAGCATGCATACATTCCACGGGTATCACCCGACATCAAACCGTAGTCCAGAAAAATAAACATTCCAGGGCCCCGCCCGGTATCAGACCTTAGTCCAGAACATACTAACATATATATACGGGTTGGCATTGGTGCCTTCAACCTATTCCTACATGAGAAAACTCACCTCACAAGCTAACTGCAGAATCCCACTGATAAACCTTTGGCTGCTAGCTGGCAAATCCCCGAACTGCTGATCTCTCGACTCCCCGAGTTACTGATCATCATACAAATTAGATATGTTAGAGATTCTCATAACTTAACCATAAGTCCTCACTAGGGTAAAAGACCATTCTACCCCTCTCATACTCTTGTCCCAAATTGAACTCTACCTAAACCTTAGCCAAAATGATAAACACTTCCATA